ATACGTTCTGACTCTCGTATTACATCCTGAATGTCTTCCTCGTCTACCAAAGATCGTACATTTTCCTGAGGACTGGTCACGGTAATATCTCGTACTGTGGATTTTTTTCGCGAAGTGGAAAGACGTGAAAAGAATCSTGCAATCTGGGTCTTCGATAGCCCGATTCTTCTCTTTCAAAGCGCCTTTCATTCTCATTTCTCGCGCACCGCATTTCCGCGGCAACTTGTTCAGGGTCTGCTTTTCTACCAGCCCTCTCACCCAGGTCAAACTTTGCTGTCAAATACGCCCGCACATTTTTCTGTAGAGCGGCTCCGGGTCTTGGTTTTAGAAAGACCATGTTTTGAGTTCACTGTGGCTTTCAGGGTAATAATAAAGATCTTAAATGAAGTTGACTGGGACTGAATTACGAAAAAGGCGCACCAAACCCAAGGTTTTTATATGACCAACATGCATGTATATCATACAGTAAAAACCCACACATAAGAACCACCTATTTTTAAGGTTATATGCTAAACTGGTTCTTATACATTTGGCATTTAGTGAGAATTTAGGGTAAGGGTTCTTAACTGGAACCAAAACGATTTTTCCTCATATAGTGTTTTTATTATCATAACAGTATATAACATTAATCATCAACAATTTCTTTTAAAACTTATGCACCAAAAAAAGTCAATCCTTTGTGATGTCAAAATGCTAACTTTTTTTGCTAGATTCTCCAGGACCCCCGAGAAAAAAAAAAGAGGTAAAATTTTCATAATCTTAATTCTTGTTTTCAAAATCACCCAACAAAGCTTACCTTTTATATAAGAACCAGTCCAATTTTTAGGCTAATTAAAAAGTGGTTCTTTTGTAATTTTGGTGTTTAAAAAGCAAATTGTAGCCTAATGGTTCTTATTAATTCACTGGTTCTTATGTGCAGGTTTTTACTGTACTGCACATTTATTACTGCACATAAATTGAAAATAATATATATGACTGGGTAATTATTTACAGGGGCAATACTTAATTACCTTTGGCTTTTCTRTCTGCCTTTGAAAAGGGTATTTTTACTTCCAGTCTGGAAGGGAGTTTGCCAGAAGATGCTATAAAAATTTATGAAATAAGATTAAGAGCTTAATATACACCAGAAATAATATGGTATAACTACATCCAAAACTAATAACCTTTTTATTGATTCTTAACAGATTGTTTCTCTATATTCTTAAAAGTCAAACCAATGGAATCACGTAGTGTTAAACTATATCTACAGTAGTTATTAACAGACACATGCAGATAATATGATAATTTACTTACAGTCATAAGAATCTGGAAATTTGATATGCTTCATCTTGAGCCTTAAAGGTTCCTCTCCTCTCAAAAATAAACTAAAAGAAAAAATGGTTATGGTSCATAACCATAAACCACGAGGTCCCTGAAAATTATGTTCAAAAATATATATTAAAAAAAATTGAAAAAATTAATTTATTTCAAGAATGCCCTCTAAGACATTCTATGATTTTGGTTTACATTCAGCAGGGGTTACATTGTTTCCAGTTTAGGGCCCATCCCCAACACAACRTTATAAATTAAAGGTATTTTAAAAAGGATTTGCCAGTTCAAAATCATAAGTTTTTCAAAAATCAATTTTGTGTGGTATTTCTTCTTGATATTCATTACACTATTATACATAAACAAAAATCAACAGCGGGTGTTTGGGCAAAACTCGGCAATTTAATATTGCATAATTTGGGACACAATACAATTACCACCCTTAAGGAGGGTGGGTAGGGTAAAAACAAGTGTTTCTATAGCCTAAACCTAAAGCAAAGTGAAACTGATGTACATGTATGATCTGTTGGTAATTACCTAATACTTAATTGGTGACATACCGTTCCGCTCCCATTAAAGTATATTGTAATACCGTACATTTACATCTCTTAATTATTTACAGAACAATGTGTAACAATATTTTAATGACTTCGTTTAATCTGCTATTTTCAAGAGCTTCTCAAGTGCACAAATGGTTTTGAGTTTTAAGTAGATTATTACTTAAAAAGTCCTGGAACTCAAACCCCATTTTGTGCACTTGAAAATAGCAGATTAAACGAAGTCATTAAAAAATTGTGTTACACTGTTCTGTTGCTGGATCGAATATTGAGCAGTCGAAGTTAACAGGTTTGTGCTACCYTTTAATAATAGGAGTAGCACAAACCTGTTAACCTTAACTGCTCAATATTCGATCCAGCAACGTAATACGAAATTAAAAATAAATAACTCCACATAAACATATAAAAGTCCGAGCCATAATTATTGTATGCTAAAGTTCTAGTATAAATTACTTCCACTGTATTGTGACAATAATTGCGAATCCTAAGGAGTTGTAAGGGTATATGGTGGTGCCTTCTTAGGTTCATAAGCAACATTTCCTCTTCT